TTTGAACAATTATCCAATATATTTTAATTGCCGACGTAGTTTTCAATTGCAAATGTGATTTTAAAAATTAGGTTATTTCCGCAAAATTGATTGACAAAATTAGGGCAAAAGACGACAACGTGGCAATCCGGGTTAACAGAACTCGGGGCGCTACACTGTCATATTTCTTGATTTGTTGTATTTGTTAAACCTGTGCATTTGATGTTTCTGTGTAATATATCAGCTTGTACTGGAACACGGGAAACCACAGGAGGAGCGATCAGCTATAATTGGGCAGATTGTTCCAATGAGCCAGCAAAAGTTTGCATCGAATGTTGTAGAGAAATTCTTTTCTTTTGGAACTCCTGGAGAACATCAGACTCTGGTAAATGAAATTCTTGGCACTACTGACGAAAATGAGCCGATTCAGGTTCGTAAATTATTTAGGTGATTTATCAATGATAAAATTGTATCACAAGTCCAGGTTTATTTGGATGCTTATTTTATCCTGAACTTGAATTCATTCTTCTCCTTTATTTTCAAGCTTTTATCTATCCTACTAGTACAATGAATCACTTTTGGCTTCTACATCTAATTGGTTATACATGTTTTGTTTTTTCCTACATGATCTTCGAAACTGCCCACCTTCATTTGAATGGCTTTTGTAAGGATTTCAGCAGTAAAATTGATTGAGAATAAATAGATATTCCGTCTGAATGATTTTATTTATTTATTTTTGCGGGGAGTGTTTGGTTGCTGGAGGGATGAGGAGGGCATATTGGCGAGAGGAACATTCACATTATTATAATATAGTTTATCACCAAGTCATAGTTATAGCATGGATATAAAAGCCATTCAATCCAATTATTAAAAAAAAAATGGTGTTCTTTTGAAATATTCGCTGAGAGGGGACATATTCTTCTTGGAATCAGGTAATGATGAAAGATCAGTTTGCAAACTATGTTGTACAAAAGATGCTGGAGACTTGTGATGATCAGTAACTTGAGCTGATTCTTAACCGAATAAAGGTTCATTTAAGTGCTTTCAAGATGTATACGTATGGAAAGCATTTTGTTGCCCGTGTAGAGAAACTTGTTGCTACTGGAGGTATCCTTCTACTCTTGCTGCCTGCTAATACACTAAAAGAATCATCCTCATTGTACTAATTTCTGCTAAAATTCACCGTTTTGCTGTATTTATTACTTTCATAATGTAGAAATATCTTTGAGCTCAAAGGATTGGTCAATTCATAATGACAACTTGGGAAGCAAAGTCGACAGTTTTGATGGTTTTGCTACTAAATGACATCTGATGTTGCACTTGCATTTTGGGATTCCAACTCGTGTCACCTCTTCTTGATAAAACATGCCCACTTAGTTTTTGATATTGGAAATGTTTACTTGCATCTCTTGCAGAAAAGAGGATCAGCATCCTGTCTTCATCTTCCGCTTGAATAGGGACCGGAAGTGTACAGCTAACTAAGACTAGTGAGAGCCTTGGTTTCCTTTTTCATGTCGGCCTTTGGTTCCTTTCAGGTTTCAGCTGGATTGAGCTAATTTAAAATAAATCATGTTGGTTGTACCTATAGTTGTAAATTGTTAGTTCAAGGATATACCTAGAATCAGGTTATTAACGTCCAGGTGGTGAACATACCTGATAACCCTTCAAAGGAGATAAGCATTACTGTACAAGTTTAGGGTGTAAAGAGGAGGAAAGTGTAATGTTATGATGCTTACTGTAACCTCTTCTAATGTGTCGATAGATAATTTACTTTTTTTCTGTTTTTTCAAATAGATTAACTTATCTTCCGTAATATGTACCTTACTCTTCATACGAGCGTAAGGTTCAAATGAGCAATTCAATTAGTCTAAAACTCAAATAAGCATTCAGATTCCAATATTGGTTGATAAGTGTATTTTCTATACTTATTCGGGACTTAAAACTATAGAATTTTATTGATCTTTTGGCAAAATTTTACATAATTATGTTATATTGCATCTTGTAGGTAAAACTCAATGTTTGATGAAGAATTTGAGAAAAGAATGCAAAAGTAGCGAAATATGGTAAAATTCAAAGTTCGAGGATCAAATTGAAATACTCAAGAAGATACTTTGAAGATTGCTAGGAGACAATTGGATGGAATTAGAATTCAAAAAGGAATGGAACATGATCAAAGTATTATCAAAATCAATTTCCAATCGCCCAAGATATATTCCAGATTTTTAGTCGAACATTGAGACCCCTTTTTGGCATAGTAAACGTCCGAATTGGAAAAACTCTATTTCAATCAAAGTTTTATCCCTTTGCGTTATCTTTTCAACGCAGTTTGAATCGAATCAATCGGATATCAGAAGAGAAAGTTATGACTAAAATACGTACGGCTATGCAGAGACAAAAAATTCGCGCGCGAATGCAACTTTCCTTATTCAATTAGAACTCTTTTGGAAACCAATTTGGACGTGATTTTAAACCAATTTTCGGAACCTCCCTAAACCTAAAAATCTCTATATTATACATATTTTGGAGGCGAAGAATATGGCTAACAACGTGGAATCAAGGCGAATTGCATAGGATATTGAAGATTCTTCATCCGAATTCAAGATTCACATCAAGAACGTGGAAAATTCCAAATTCTTCATTATTTCTTCTTTTCGGGTGATGATTTTCCAATTGTTCCTTTGTAATTTAATTTTACATATGTTAGACTAGTTTTTNGATGTGCCAATGAAGCTATTTCACCGAAATCAATACACAAAATTATGGTAAAATCAAAAAGTTGGGTACAAAAGATGGTGTACATATAACTGAAAATTGAGTGAGTAGGAAGAAACAAGAAGCTAGGCACAATTGCAGCGGAAAGTCAAAATTTGCAACCATACAATTATGAAGATATCATTCCACCGGGTTAAAAAAAGAAAAAAACACTTCGCTAGCATAATATGTATATATATAAAAATTCGACCCCGTACGCTTAGACCTACAAATTAGACATTCTTCTTCGTGAGAACGATACTCTTAACTCACAAATATTATTACTCGTACAACGAACTCGTACGCTTGCGGGTTTCACGCCAACATTGGTGTGCTCAGAAAAATGTATGCATCAATCGAACTAATCCAGTCATATCATAAAAGCAGTCGAAACTTCGAGTGACATGTTTGGTGCGTTGAATGAAACCAAATTGGACCAAGTTATTCTTTGCAAAACTTGTTTTATGTATAATGAATTATTATTGCTTATAACGAAAAATAAACATTCTTCTCAATGAATTTGGAGCCGACTAAGCGAATCATTTTTTGTGACTCCATTACGTGCTTAAATCCCAAGTAAAAAACAGAGTGATAATCACAAGTTTAAGCCCAAGAAGAGGCAATTTCATCATTCATCTTTGCCATAAACCAACCAGATTACCAAATCAACACTTTATATACATCAAAGGCACGCTGGGTACATAGATTATAAAGGACTGAACAATACAATACAAGAGATTTTAGTCTCTTTTTCTTCCTATGTACTTTCGAGTATTGTTCAATCTACCTTTATCTGTTAATTGGGAGGGCAGAAGGTGACAACATATTGCGGTGCTCTACATGTCTTAAGTCCAGTCGATTCATCATATGGATAACTATAAGCCCGGGGACAAATGGCCTTAAACAGATGCGCGAAAGCTGTAGGCTTGCAAGTGTTCAGGTTCGCAAATTCCCCTGTACAACAGTATTTAGCTTCCCCGGTGGCCAAACAGGCACTCCGGCATCCCACCACCTCCCCTTCTTTCTTCACCACCAAATTTGATGGGCAGCAAACGTTCAAATCAGCCTCACACGCTGCCACACCGCACCCTACACCACCACCTATCGGGATCATTGAGACGGGAAGGTTAAAACCATCAACTAAACTCACATCATAGAAATGCATTGGATTTGTAGGGGTTCCTAGAGTCATCTCTACAATGGTAGCAGGAGGTACTCCGCTAGTGCCCATGCAATGTAGTTTCCCAGCGCAGTCGCCTGTTTGGCACGAGCCTCTACCGTCTTTGTCGAAACAGCATCCCCGTCTACCCCATAATCTACCCGACCAACTTTCGGGGACGTCCAGGACGACTTGTTCCCCGGAGTAGAGATCAAAACCACCATCTCGAAGTGTTTGGTGGCCAGCGGTGCCAAGAATTCCAGGCCATATGTTCTCCTTGCAATTGTTCATGACAATCAGTTGAGTTCCATCTGCAAGCATAAAGAAATTAGAAAATCTCAAAACATGACCAGAAAGTTAGTTTCTTTCAGGAAGAATACAGATAGAAGATAAAAGAGCAACAAATAGTTTCTATGTCCCAACTGATCATTATGCGCGCGCGCGCACAGAGCCCGAAGAATAGAAAACTAACCTGAAGAGTAGAAAACTGTGCACAAATAGAGGAAAAATAGATGCAAAAAGGTTGGCATTTTGAATCTCGAAGAAGGGGTTAAGGGAATCAGGTTGTAGCGCTGCGCTGTGCAGTAGGAGAGGTTAAATATAGCTCAGGATGGGTGTAGACATGGAGAAGAGGATGATTTGTAAAGAGGTGGGCAATCACACTCCATTTTTGCCATGTCCCACTTTTCTAGGAGACACGATTTAATTGGAGAAATCTAATTATAACTGCCCGTTTCTTGTGGTTCAATCCTACTACCTTACCAAGCTCTTATGAAGCCTGCCCATATCAATAAGAGGGGTTCGAAAGAAAGCATAAAAATTCTCGTGACCAACTCGAACTCCGGAGTAAGGAGTACTTAGAGAGGAGATTTAACTCTGTCGTGTGGACTTTCTTGTTGAAAAAATCAATCACTTAGAGGAGATTTAAAACTTCAAATAAAAATAGGAATGAACAACACGTAACGAGTAATCCTACCTAACATCACTAGTGTTTAACACTGGTTTAGATGTCATCGCTTGTATCATTAAATTATAGGTTCAACTAAATACAAGAATTTATGACTCATTTGTTAGGACAAATGACATGTTGACATCTCGACTGGTGCTAGATATCGTTATTCATACGTAACGAGTAATGCTACCTAATATCACTAGTGTTTAACACTGGTTTAGATGTCATCACTTGTATCATTAAATTATAGGTTCAACTAAATACAAGAATTTATGACTCATTTGTTAGGACCAATGACATGTTGACATCTAGACTGGTGCTAGATATCGTTATTCATACGTAACGAGTAATGCTATCTAATATCACTAGTGTTTAACACTGGTTTAGATGTCATCTCTTGTATCATTAAATTATAGGTTCAACTAAATACAATTATTTATGACTCATTTGTTAGGACCAATGACATGTTGACATCTAGACTGGTGTTAGATATCGTTATTCATACGTAACAACGCGTTGAGTCACACATCTTACTGTTTGTCTACTTGTTAATTCCATCATAAAATTTGCATTGTACAAAGGGGCAATAGCAACCAAAACTAAGTCAAGCTCCGGAGTCCTCCTTGAAATGATTGAATGCAATTGTAAAGTTATGCAACTAAGAATAAATGGATAAAACAAAGCGAATTCCAGCAGGTTTCGAGGATACTCTACTTTTCGAAAAGTTGATGGAGCCATCATCTTAGTGGGAAGATTCATTAAAAAAAAAAAAAAGATTAGCATAAATTAAGGTCCTAGTACAACTATTTTCCTATTTAAATTACTTTTTAATATCAATGTCACATAGAGCACTATTGGTATTGATGTGGACCAATTTTATCTTGAGTAATACTATTCAGAGTAATGCTATTTTGTCACACTGAAATTATAACCCTAGTTTACGAGGTATTAAATGATTGGTTAAATCAAATAAGTCATTTAATTGCACATTTCATCTAACCTATAATTTAATGTTACATTAACATCATGTAGATGAGGATCATAATCACAAATTCACAATGGAGTTAAAAAATATTATTTTTCTATTTAACACAACTGGCATTAAACACCGATCTAAGTCGTGCCTTAGTGATATTAAATAAGAGAGAATTAAACGAATCATATAACTCTACCTGTAATTGAGCCTTTGACATTATGACACTTAAAACTGGTACTCTAAAAATATATCGAGTAATTTAATGAACACTCGTTGAACTTTAAATGTGATACTATTTACTCACTCATCTTTAACGGGTTACTCAATGCTCTCACATCATTTTATATAATTACTCATCCACCACTCATTTAACCCCTATCTCTCCAAATGGATGGAAAAATACACGTAGTAAACGATAATCCTACGTGGCGTGCTAACAGAGTTAACCATGTCCATGTTACCAAAAATTTTCCAACCAAACACGCTTTTGTCTCCCTTGAATCAAAATTTCCAATTCAAAGCCCTAATTCAAACCCCCACAAACTAGAAATTCCAATTAGAAGACACTGGCCCTCAGCTCCTTTGCCGACCCATTAATTCAGTGGGTCACAATAAGAAAATGACCCAAACGACGATGCGCCCTGTGAAGACTGCACGAATGAAGGAAGAGGCACCTAGCATTGTCAGTGTGAAGAAGGCTGCTCATCTTGCATATGAACAAGAATAGCTACAAGGGATGGATGATAAAATGTCCGAACATAACACAATGACCTGGTCGGCGGTGCACTGTTGTCACCTGTCGAAAAAATGGACGACATAAGTGCCACGCTATTTCAGGGGCCAATTTTGAAGAAGGAAATTTGATTTCAAATGTCGTGGGTTCAGAAAGGGTTTAAGGAGAGAAATGTCGTGAAAATGGTTAAGGAGAAATTCTAGGTTGTCAAGATTTAACGACATGTATTTGCTACATTTGATTTCTATTTACATGTCTTTTTTCATCCATTTAAAATATGAGAGTTAAATTAATGGTGGATAGATAATTGTATGAAAGATAAGTGAACATTAAATAATTCATTAAAGATGAATGAGTAAATAATAATACGTTTAAAGCTCGATGAGCATTCATTAAATTTCATCACATAACATTATTCATTTATCTTTCGAGCAACTAATCATGTTGGCAAAAGTTATATCTTTGTATTGGTCAATAAAAAGCAGCCAATCGAGCAACCAATCATCGTATTGGTCGATAAAAAGCAAAAGTTATATCCTGTGTATTGATCAGTAAAAGGCAACCAACCGAGCAACCAATCTTGGTATACGTCGATAAAAAGCAAAAGTTACATTAAAATTCCATAGTAACTTTTATTAAATCAAAAAAAGAACCTTTAAAAAGCCAATCCATCTGCAAATTTTACCCTTTACCCTAGCAAGTCAGTTTCTCGTACAGGCCAACATTGGTAAAGGACAAAAAGCAACTTTGACCTACGACTTACCTATTACCAAGTTCCTTCTAAACTTGAAGCCATGTTCTCTTGGATCTTCCAAATACTATTGAGAAGGCATAGCTCTTCTTCCATCACAAACTCCTAATCCAAACTCAAATTATGCGCTAGACTTAAATTGTAAGCATTAAGCTCCGATGAAGTAATTCTCCAAAAATGGGCTACGTCAAGACCAAACTGAAATTGTGAGGTTGAGCCACAATCAAGAAAAACAGGAATGATCAATTATAGACAGATACACGTAGAAGTAGAAAATATTTATAGTTCAAACCATGAGCAATCAACATTCCCCCTGTTCTATTTCGCCTCCCACATTCCAACCCTAATCTTCCTTTAGCTCTCGATTAGATACTTATAGTTTGGTAGAATCCCGATTAAGAAAAATAGAGATGAGTTAATCAATGAGTGCCTCTGTAAAATCTGATACACAATAGAAACAATATCATTGAGCCTATTTTTTCCAAGTACAATATTGATATCATCCATCAATCTCATGAAAATATGTAGCTCACCCAACAAACTTGCATCCATCTTATATTTGCCATATAAGTACATTATTTAAGTCCAAGAAGCCATCAAACTTTTCGATTATTTTACATAAAATCTCATATATAACTTTACAATAGGTGATAATGAGAAATTAATGTGTAATGGAAATCTGCTTACACACACACGTGATTAGATTTTCTTTTTTAATCGCGATGGACATTGAACATCATTAACTGCAAGCAATAAATACACATAAAACGTGGAATACAAAACCTTTAAATCCAGAAGGAAAAAAAATGGCTTGACATTCTACAGTGCTTCATTGGTGTAGATCTCAAAAGTCCAATGCACCAAAATCTCAAACCAAGTTTCCTCGTCAGATATCACACTGACCAACAGTCGAGGACAAAACATGCAAAAAATGAACTTCAAAGAGCATAACAGTTGATATCATTCAAGTTTAATAAATACTTCTCCTACAGAACAAATCCCACTATCTTCAGCAATCCCCATTATGTGTATCCTAACTTATTTGTCCATAGAAAAGTATAGACGATGATAATAAGGAATTCTTACCAAAACCCAACAGTTAACCGAGCCAGCAGAGATTCCTAGAAACAATTATTTCAATCAAAAAAAGAAGAGGCACACGCTTAACAAGTTAAAAATGAAAGTTCAAAACAAATCTTAACCTAGAATAAGAACAAAATAGTGTTTTTACGCACATTATTGAGAAAAGAATGCAATTTATGATGTGGCGTGATGGAAAATATGTGGTTAAAAAATAAAGAAAAGTTTTGAATTAGCGTGTAATATTATTTTATTGAAAAATGTGTGTTGGAAATGAGTTTTGAAAAAATGAATTTTTGAAGAATGTGGATCAAACAGGGGCTAACATGTGTTCAGATAATGTCCAGCTGGATAACTATCCGGCCAGGACACTTACGAGTACATATATTAGGGAGAACATCAAGTACTTTTTCAAAACTACAGCTCTTGGTTGAGCAACCTCTCAAGAGAGAAACTAAATATGATCATATTCCAATAACCAACAGAAAATCAGTACTAGTTTGATATCATCAATGTCTAAAAGTGGGACCAATCAGGTATCAAAGTGGGTTGCCACTGAGGCAAAGCATAAGCCTCAACACAAACCAATAAAATCATTCAAAACAACGGAAAAATACAAAATATGCTCATAATAATCTATAAAATTATCTATAAATCTATAATAAAACAAAATTAAGAGTGTAACTAGGAAACAACGTAAAATGTATATCTACGAAGAAATTAATAATTTTTAAATGTAGTAAATATTTAAGAAATATTTTAATTTAATACTAGACGTAGAAACTACCAATATCATCACTAATAACACAATCTTTAAGAAAATCCTCAAACACGTGTGTATTCTTTGTTATCATGATTCATTTGTAATTGTGGCTTCCCCGTCCCCTTCCATGTCAAGGCACAAAAGAAATCCATAAAACATTTAGCCGACAAAAAAAAAAAAAAAA